ACATAGCATGTATTTAGGCGCCTGGTGTTAGCAGACGCGCCTAAACACTATGTGTATACACAAACACATACATACATACATGTATTAACACGCGCGGTTGACTACAATAGCTCTGAACCAGTACTCCATGAACTTACAGGATTTTACACGAACTTGCAGGAGGTTGCAGGAAAAATGTTCCCGTACTCCAAAATCCTGTAAATGAGAGCGACTTATGGAGAGTTGTGTAGAGAATGAAGTTGCAAGATTTTACCGAACTTTTTCTTCTAGTAAAATCATGAAAATTGTCAAGCAATCGCTGGTTGACGTTTTTACAGGAAAAATGTTTTTTTTTGTTACCGTACTTTTTGTTGTACTCACTTTTTACTCTCACTTCAGATAGTAATTTTGCTGTTTGACAGTTTTACAGGATTTTTCACGAAAAGTATTGGATCAGAGCTAATATTCTGCCGGATAATATACTTTCGATATGTTTCCCCTTAACGTCAGTTACTGTCCGGCGGTCCGAGTTAAGGTCCCGTAAACCTTTTACTTTACTTCGGTTTAGAAGATCTAATAGAGCAGACCAGCAGCTACCAGGCCACTGTCGCGAAGGTAATACCATTGTTACTTATACCAATATTTGTTTAACTTTGAATCAGAATATTTTTAAATTAAAAACTACTAAAAAAAAAAAATATTTCGCTTTGGGTTTTTATTTCCATTTATTATCACCTGCACCGGAGCGTTATTTCCGATACGCACCCCGTACATGTTTCGCAAAGAAAGGAAATAAAATAAGATAAAATGCCTTTTTAAGATAACAAAATGTGTACGCAAAGAATAAATAAAAACATTCAACTATATTATTAGGCAAAGATTTGTTAAAGAAGTAACACTGTTTCACCTAAGGCAGTCTGGCAGAATTAGAGCGAGAAGTTGCCAGCCGATAACACCTTGTATTATTGCATCATGGCAAATATCTACATTTCTGAGCCATAGTGCTATTTTCCATTTTTGTAGTTTTTAAAAGGTGTTTAGACTAGAGGCCGACCGATTCCAATTTTTTTTTCAGGTATGTACCGATCCCGACTAATCGGCTTATGGGGGAAGAATCGGCCGATGCCGATTCCACAAATAGTAAATAGAAGAATCGCCATATTTTGACCGGTTTTGGCATTTGGTATTTGTCTTTTGTTTAATTAATGTTTTTTTATACAAGTCTAGCTGGTATACAACAAACACCATATACATAAATTCGGATTTCGAGCTTTTAAAAAAATAAGGGTAACACCAAAAGAGAAATCGCCGATAATAATTCGTGTCTGAACACAGACTAAGGGCCAGTTACTCAATGTCTGGTTAACACTAATCTGCGGTCAAACATGGTTATCGACGTCTTCGACTCCATACATATAACAGGGAGTCAGTAACGCCGATATCTATGTTTAACCGGATATTAGTGTTAACCAGACATTGAGTAACCGGCCCTAAAGGTTCTTTCCCGCACGCAACGCGGGATCCCGCGTGTGCCCAAAACAGCCCAGAAATCATTCCCGTACTCAAGAAAATGAGTAACAGAGAGCGATAATTGGAACGTAGGTATCTTCTTCTTCAACTTTGCATTCTACTTTTGGTTGAACGGCCTATCAGCTAATCGCTTTAAACAAAGTTGGTCGCCAGCCATTCAATTTAGCCATTCAACTATTTTTCATGCAACCCTGCGTGAGTTGAACGCTAAAGTTGAACGCAAAATCGCCTTGTGCGAACACATTTTAAGCGATACCCAGTTTAAGAAATGTCGCATCATTGAAAAACAGGAAAAGGATAAAGCCTCTTAACTGTCAATCCTTCTAACAGGTCTATTCAGCACGTTATCGAAGATTTTGTAACCGGAAAATTTTATTACCAAAAAATGTTACCAGTTCTTGTCACCGCGATTCTAGGTTCGTTGGTAATGCAGTTAAAATATTCAACAATTCAGCTATGAAGAATTGTGGAAATCCTGGCATTGAATATTTCACGGGGCAATAATTTGATACTAGCTTATGAGATGGTAACAAAATTTACCGGTTATAAGAGCATACAGGGCCGGTTACTCAATGTCTGGTTAACACTAATCTGCGTTTAAACATCGTTATCGACGTTACCGACTCCCTGTTATATGCATGGAGTCGAAGACGTCGATAACGATGTTTAACTGCAGATTAGTGTTAACCAGACATTGAGTAACCGGCCCACAGAATGCGAAAAGGGTTTAAAAATTGACAGGAGTTTTATTTACCGGTTACAAACTTTTTATTACGTTACCGAAGATTTTGTGACCGGAAAATTGTATTACAAAAAATGTTACCACTTCTTGTCACCGCGATTCTAGGTACGTTGGTAATGCAGTGAATATATTCAGCAGTTCAGCTATGGAGTTTGTGGAAATTCTTGTGCTGCATATTTCACGGGGCAATATTTTGTTACCAGCTTATGAGATGGTAACCGAATTTACCGGTTACAAGAGGTTTAAAAATTGACAGACACTTTAATTAACGGTTACAAAATTTATGTTACCAGCGCAGAATAGTCCTGTAACAGGTCTATTCTGCACGTTACCAAAGATTTTGTAACCGGAAAATTTTATTACCAAAAAATGTTACCAGTTCTTGTCACCGCGATTCTAATTGCGTTGGTAATGCAGTTAAAATATTCAGCAATTCAGCTATGAATAATTGTGGAGATTCTGGCATTGCATATTTCACGGGGCAATACTTTGTTACCAGCTTATGAGATGGTAACAAAATTTACCGCTTACAAGAGTACACAGAATTCGAAAAGGGTTTAAAATTTGACAGGAACTTAATTTACCGGTTACAAAACTTTTATTACCAGCGCAGAATAGACCTGTAAATGTGAAATGTATTTCAGCGGCATCTATACGACAAAACCTTGAACAGAGTTGCTTTATTATATTACTAGCATTCGCCAAGGTAACACCGGCAGGTTTTTGACAACTATTATTGTGAATAACAGGAGTTTAAAGAAGAGGAACTGCAAAGTGTGCTGCGTTGCTGTTTTTGCCCGTGGAAGTCCGATTGTAAGTTACATAATTATTAACAAATATATTTAACATTTCTTATGGTAAATATCTTATGAAAACAGAATCATCAAAATGTCTGATAAGCCTGTTGAGAAAGTTGGTCGCCCCATGAAGTACCCGTATACTTTCAGCGCAAAAATCGCTCAATTTCCGCTAAAACACTACATTCAGAATCAATGGATTTGGAAATATTATTTCATTGCTTTTGGTCTGTGCATTCCAGTATTCTATAAAATCAGCAAATTAGGTATGAAAGAAAATTGCTGCAACTTTATTAAATGTATGTATGTGTTTATATTCCAAAATTTTATTCACTTTTTAGCAAACTCGCCCGCAAACAAACAAAAATGGGCCGAGAGCCAGGCCAAGGAAGCTGCAGAACATCATTAAATTGAAAGGAATATCACTGGTCATTTGATATATAATTAATTTATAAATTTTTGAAAATATGTTCAGGAATAAATAGCGTATTTTTGAACCTCACAACAACAATTGGAGTTCATGCAAGATAAAATATTTCGTTTAGATGGATGCAGAGAAATTTTGATCCATTAATTATAACTGGTAGGAATAAAATGTAAAAACCGTCATGTGTCGAGTTACATACACAGTCACTCAATAAAGTGTAGGTACAGCGAATTTCTTACAATAGATTTTTAGTTTTTCGTGATATCCCCGCTAATGCAAGTTGCTATTTGCCAAAAAGTTAAATAGAGTTATCATTTAAGTACATATCTTCAAAAGACGCACAACTCAAAAAAAATATAGGCGGATTTTTTTGCATAAATCAATTCGTAGGGTTTGTCTCCATTAATGCAAAATTTGTTTCTTCATGGTTATAATCTCGTAACTATAAACCTGTTGTAATATCTTTGTATCTATGAATTGCTTTGAATCTGTACCATCCACAAGCAGTTATATTTTCTGATCCGATTTTTAAGTTGTGCCTCTTTTGAAAATGGTGTGTAATATGTATGTACACACGTGTATACCATGAATCAAAAATACAAGATCACGCAAGAACACGACGTTGTATTTATAACTGCTTTTGAGAAAAAAGTTTTCGAAAGCGGTGTCGTCAGCTGAGCATTTGTTTATATGAATGAATTTTACCTAAAGTGTGTGTTTAAAGTGGCTGGCAATAATTTTGGATAATTTTGGTTTTCGTTGTTTTCATTGCTTTGTTTACTTTTCTTTCGTTTTGCAGTGAAACAATATGGCACTACAGATATGTACACAAAAAGTACCGAATGTTTACATACCCATGTACTAATTATTTGATATCACTAGGTGTTGGGTAATCTTGGTAGGAGGCAGCTTTTACGAAAAGAGGCAACACTTGTCAATTGATAAAAACAAATGTAAATTCGGGTTCACCTTTTATAAAATACAAAGGTTTTTGGATAAAATAAGTAAAACTAATATTTGTGGCAATGATTAAAATAAAAAACGAATAAAGTTTTATTAGAAGATGTATGTGAGGGGTATTGAAGCTATAAAACAATACATGCCACAAGATAACTCTGAAATTTCTACAAACATAAAGGAGGAGAGAGGACAAGAACTAACTACAACCGATGCAATGTCTTCGGCGGAACGGTATAGGTAATTCAGATTAAAGAAAAAGTTTATTGCATTTTTTATTGTTTTAATATTTGGTTCTTATCATCAATCGCGCATCTACAATCACAAATGGTTGATGCTTATTGGACACAAAAACTGGAAACGTGCCTGCTGATATGAAACTGAGTTTGTATAGGCTTAGTTGACTAGGATAAAGTCAGCCTTTGTTTCTTATCTTTCACTTCTAGACCACGTTGACATGACTTAACTCTATGATTTTGCCAGTAATTGCTTATATAGCCATGGACCAAGAATGATAGAACGATTATCTACGTCGTGGCTATGGACGACATTTCACTAACTACTATTGGACTGAGTATTTATATAAAAGGGCGGTAACTTGCTACGCCCTATAATACTGCCGATACCATATACATATATATATATATATATATATGTATTTTGTTTCCACAAGAGATTCCTACATTTAACTGCATACCATATTCAAATACTTAATTGATCTATACCTATGTATATTAATCAACGAGTCTTTCTTTTATATGTACGTGTGTCAAGCATTAGTCACTTAAGTGTCCTATACGGCCATGTTACGTCTTAAATGACTTCGGGCTCCGTTTATATGGAAGTCGTTCACAACTTTTTCATTGAAATGGTAATTTGGTCGATGACGGCCTGTGCATGAATTTGTCATGCAGTGATCGCTGATGGCATTCAAGCGACACTTTCTACAATGGACTTTTTATAAGTCACCGCATTGTCTGTTATAAGTCTTTGATAGGAGTACACATGCATGACATGATCACCTGTGTCATTGTCAGCTATATGTCGTTAAGGATTCACAGCAAGTGCGGCGATGTCACTAAATCCTCATTAGTGACGATGTCACCTATCAGCTATTTTGATAACGATGCGCTTTATCAAGAAAACTTCTTAGATAGGCTGAAGTCATTGAAATATCTTAAAAACTCAGCTACCTATAAATGAGATTATGCAATTCGTCTATCCAAACAGTGAAGAATGGGAGAATCTCTTGAAGTACTTAGACAACGATCCAGAATATATACGTGAACAAGCATTTGAGGGGGACTTGAAAGTCTCAAAGTTTCGTAGTATATATTGGTCGTTATTGCTACGTGTTTTAAACCCAGATTACCGCAATTGGAAAGAACAAAGAGGAAAGCAAAGGAAAAGGTTGGAACTATTTCCTTAAATACATATTATGTGAAGAAATTTCTGAACTGTTTTACATAAGTATATGAATATATCTTTGTTAGGTATGAGAAACTCAAAGACGAGTTTATAAAAGATCCACATGATATTGCAGTGCCTGATGACAATCCACTATCGCAATCGGAAGAGGTATGTATAGACGCTTTCTAATATAAAAATATTATAGTACCGTTAATTTCTTCATGAACAAATGATAGGATATAAATCAAATTAGTATGGAGCCACCCTCTAATAAAAAAAAAATTATCGAAATCTATGGACGTGGTACAAAGTTATGCGGTAACATACAATAAAAAAGTCTGTTAATAAACAGTTCTAGAAATAGCGCTGTTCTGGGTCAAAATATAAAAAACACGATTAGATATAAAATCGGAATTTTTCAAATGTTACATTTAAACTTTGGTAGAAAACTTGCGTTTGCATACCTAAAAAGTAGATATCGTTTATTTACTAACAAGCCCAATTTAAAAAAGGAAACGGAGCTTTTTATGTGATGCGTTTATTTTAAGTTTTCAACTTAGTCCAAAAATGCAGAAAATTAAGAGGGAAAGCTATACAAGATTTTGCAACGAAATTGCTACACTATATGAATCATGAAATATCTAACGAATAATTCTGTATCATTAGCTAAAAAATTCGTTTTTTGTCAATCCTTTAAGAAAAACAAAATGTTAATTTGATTAACGATTAAAAATTAACGATTAAAATGTTGATCGCGTTTGACGATTAAAATTAATTAATCGTAATCACTCGTATGATTGATGATTAAATTTTTTAATCCTTAATCGCTGGCGGCAATTACGATTAATTAATTTCAATCATTAATCGTTAATCCAATTAAAAACAAAATCTGATTAAGTTACCTAGTTTGCCCGAATTTGGAACCAAACACCAGTTCTAGTAATTATTTTATGTTTTATGCTTACAAAAAGCACATAAAATAAAAGAAAAATTTTAATTATTGTTATTAGTAATACATAAACTGGGAGCTTTTACAACCCAGCGCACGTTTGCAGAACACGTGTAAAACATATGTTCGTATAGATCTTAATGCAAATGCACACCAAATTTGTTAGATTGATGAGGAAATCCGACTTAGCCATACCCGATTAACTGGCTTTGTGTGCACAGGAAAATTCCAGCATAAATTAATTAATCACCAAACCTACTTAATCAAATTAAGAGTTAATGATTAAAAACTATTTTTTTTAATCGCGGTTACGATTAACTGTTTAATCAGATTAAAGTTAATCATGATTAACTGTAATCGGATTGAATTTAATCGAATTAACTAATTGATTAAAAAATCAATCGATTAGTGCCAACACTGCACGATACAAATATTTATTATTTTTATTTATTTTTTTATTATTTTTATTTTTTAAATATTTGTATCACGAAAAAAATTCGTACATACATACATATATCCTAAAACAATATAAGATATTCCATGTTGAATAATTTTCATATTTCAATATTTAAGAGCGTGTGGAACCAGTATTTCAGTGATCAAGAACTTTTCGCTGTTATAAGTCAAGATGTCATTCGAACATTTCCAGGCGTGGACTTCTTTCGTAAGAAAATCATTCAAGATGCCATGGTTTGTTGAATTTTTCGGTACAAATAGTCAAAAATTACAATTGAAGTTTTTACAGTGCAATATTCTTTTCTATTATGCACGGGAACACCCGTATATGTGCTACCGCCAAGGAATGCATGAAATTCTTGCACCTATTTTATTTGTTTTGTATGGTGATCAGCAATCACTGCTGCATTTTTCAGAAATATCTCAGCATCAAACCAGGTAATATGCCACCAATTCGGAACGTAATACGAATACATAGAATATTGGAATTTTTCAGTGACCTTTTGTTGAGCGTACTTGATCCAAATTATTTGGAAGCTGATTCTTAGTAAGTGTAATTCTAATGTGATTATGTTTTCAATGATTTTATACTTGTTTAGCTCTTTGTTTTCGCGCTTGATGTCATCTATCGAGTCGTATTATCGAATAAAAAGCTTTGTGCAGCCTCCCAATGAATGTGTTGCTTCGGACGGTGATGTAGGTTAAGAAATCAAATGAAAGAATATATGTATGTAATAAAGCCCATTGCAAATTTTAGTCAAAGCCAGCATTGGGACCCGGTGTGGAAGTCATAAGTCAACTAAATTCCATACGCGAGAAAATTCTTGCCAAGGAAGATTTACATTTGCACAATTACCTGCTGAAACTTGATATACCGCTACATATATTTGGAATGTAAGTAAATTATATTGTAACTAATTTGCAAATACCTGCATTTTTTTTTAATAGCCGTTGGCTTCGTCTACTCTTCGGTCGAGAATTTCCACTCCTTGACTTGCTGGTTATTTGGGATGCAATTTTCGCAGATAGTGACCACTTCGACTTGCCAAACTACATTCTAGTAGCAATGCTGATACGTATTAGAGATAAATTGCTTTTGAGTGATCAGACAACTTGCCTTACCTACCTAATGCGTTATCCCACCAATGTGGATGTAAATTTAATTCTACGTCATGCTTTGCATATGATTATGCCAAAAAGATTTGAACGTCCTTCAAATGCCTTTGTTTACTTTACGGTCCACAAGCAAACTGCTGGTGCATTGAGGAAGACTGGAGCCAACAAATCACCGGCACCGCAAAACTCGCTCAAATCAAGTAGTTCTTATGAAACAAAAGAGCATTTTAGCAAACTCCAAAATAGTGGTACAGTTTCTACTGCTGATAATTTGTCTAAAATGAAGCAACAAATAGGCAAATTACAAACACAAAATGCTGTAGACTCTGCTGCAATATCGAGATTAAGAAAAGATGTCCCTGAGGAATCAAGCGCCATCGCAGAAGGATATTCGAAAAATGTATCAACCAAATATATTGTTGTAATACGCTTTTTACTAAATGTAATTATTTTATATTTACTCTTAGAGTCAAGATCTTATCAACTTGGAATTGAAGAATGCTCAAACAATAATTTCTATAGCACGGAATAAACTTCAAGCATATGTAACCACTATCAGAGGTCATCTTCCGGGAAGCAGCTCTAAAGAGATGGTGCAGGCATTGGACGGTATTGATGAATTATGCAGTTTTCTAGATGTCAAATTTATGTTTCCAATTCATGCGACCAGACCCCCAATCGATGAAGCATTGGAAGCCAACGAACAGGTTACTTTGCGAAAAGGTCATAGGAAAAAAGATGGCAATGGAGATGGTATAAGTATAGCCGGTGTTAGCTCTAAACAAGCTTCAACCATTGGAACTAGCAAAGAAAATAAAAAGCAACACCCAACTGGTGCAAATGAAGATTCCTTTTCTCAATCCGCAATAAGTGTGCACGCCTATGTGCGGCCCGAGGAACACACATCGCTGTCGCCATCACATTTGTTAGGCGGTGTTCGTGAAATTGAATTATTAACCATTGTACCTTCCGAATGCGTTGTTGAACCAGTCGATGTTAGCCAACCAAAAACTGAGTGGAACCATGCAGATGCTTCACAATGTGCTATGAACATGAAATCTCCAAAAATTCAACATAGCAAATGACTATGTGTGTGCATAGTATTTTTAAGTCTAAAAGTATGTATCTTTATTATTACTAAAGAGGTATAAGTTGTTACTAAGTAACTATTAAGTATAAAATGTCTCACAAAATTTTATTGCGCTCGCTGGTTTGCAAAGTCTTTTTAAATTTTGTTGCCTTAGTTAAAATTTTTTTATATAAATCAGGTTAAAGTTTTAGAGCTTTTGTATCTAATTAAGTCACAATGTTAAAATTTCGCCTGGAGAGAAATGAACATATTTGGACTGATATGAGTAAATGATTTTGGCCAGCCATTAAAAAGAAAATACATAATGAAGATTTCCATGAAGGGTATCCCATATTTTTATTTATTCGTTAGAAGCCTTCTATTTACCTGTGATTTATCAAAACCGCCTTGAGACGTTCAATCGCTCCCGATTTTTGGGGTTTATATTGCATCGGATACTTCGCATTGCTAAGATCGCCCTTATTCGTTGTCGCAAGCTCAACTAACCGTAGAACATAGACGCATTGCTTCGACGGGATCAATCCAAAGAAAGAGGGACATTAGTTGGCATCTGAAGAGATGGTGAGTACATTATCAGGTTCTTTCGCGTGCAGGACATACATACGTTGTGTATATCAAGGTCTAGTCTGGATAAGTGGGCAGTTGATGCCGATCATGTGCAATAGATGCGAGAAGGAGGCCATTATTCGTTAATGGCGATATGCGAACGGCGTTGTTGTTGTTGTTGTAGCGGCTCCTAAGCCGCACTCGGGTCGACTCGTCCGTCAACGTTGGCGTCAGGCTCAGCTAAGTGGAGGCCCAAGAAGCGTGCAACTTCCACCGAGTCTGTGCAAAGGGACAGGGGGTGGGGTTCTGGGGGCATGCGAAGAGATGCCTTAGGTCATGCAGCGGCTCTCCGCTTGACGGGCACTCATTCAGGTATGTGCTTAGCCTGCTGCAGTAGCCAGAGCGAAGTTGGGCTATTGTGGTGCGAGACCCTCTAGGCAGACAAAGTTCTGTCTCGTCCACGTCGGTTGGTTGTGTGCCCAAATAGCCATTCACGTGTCGGGAGTCTATGTAACTTGCGACCGACTTTTTGTGAATGCCGTTTAAAGTCTGTCGGTATGCAGGTTGGTCCAGAGGTTGTTTAATGGGTCAGTTCGTAGACATGCCTCCTGACGTTCCTTGGCGAGGGCTTTTCTGCAAGCAATTTTCCGCGTCTGGACCAGTGGTTATTGGAGTCTAGTCTAGATTTAGTCCGAGAAGATGGAAGAATCTGTTATACATTCCCATGACAGTCAGTTCTATAAACCAGAATGACCCGAGTTTTACTCTTTCAAGAGTTTAATTTCGGCGTCCTAATCTTGTTTCGGGAGCAACACCTTACACCAAACATATTCCACACCCTTCTGATTGGGGCGAGTCCAACCCCCCACCAGAAACATTCCAGCATCATATGCCTGAGAAGGGTATGTATATCCGGATTGCACATCTGTTAGGTGGAATACGTGCACCGAATAGAGTCACCTATAGAACTATTTGTAAACTTTGGATACATTCAGAGCAGATCATATAGTTTTCTTTGTGGCTGTTGTTTCCGAGAGGGTGGTTGTATGATTTATTTTCCCCGAAACGAAAAATTACACTTTATGTGGCACAATGCCGAAACATGTTTGTCTCCAAACCAAATTTGGCACAGGATGACGGAAATTCGTTCCAAAATGCATCACACAGTTTCTAGTCCCCTGTAGATCCAAGGGATGAAGCTGCGCCGAGTTGCATTAGATTAAATGAGCTATGTAAGGCATTGGTGGTAGATCACGCTTCGTCACTTACCAAATTGTGCAGTATCGTTACCACTTTAACTTCACCGCACTTTCTACATCCAGAGATCAACGCATTGGCGAAGAGAGCTCCGTAAGATGCTGCAGCAGCTCGCTTCCAGACGCTTGTTACGGTAAATGAGCGCGACCAGGTCAATGCTGGGAGTCCCGGCATTGGGAATCTCAATAAGCATCTGAAAACTTGCAACTTTCGATTCGATCGACCGTCTAACCGGACAAGGCGCGATGACAGAGTGAAAACTTTATTTGATAATCACGTCTCGTCGAATCCGAAGTGATTCGTGCATGCAATTTACATAAACCAAGCCAAGCAGTGAAGTTCAAGACGATATGTGGTTGCTGATGCTAAATAAATTGGATCCAGCGGGATCAGAATACCCCATCAAGGACTTCAATGATGGACGCGCTCCCCCCTCTTAATTTCCGGTGTGTGGATATCACGGAGAGTGGTTTCACTATTAAAGCCAAGTAAATCAGCCAACAACGGGGAGTCTTATCGCCTGATAACTCTTCTTCGCCCTGTCGTGAAGACATTTGTGGCCTTAAGGCGTATCCCAGTTAAACGTTGACGACAACGTCCGGCAATGGAATTGATGGCCTATGCACCCATTCTTCGCTGTACGGAGCTTAATCCTCTGTCATACGAAACCAACGGTAACCCTATTTACCACCTGTATGAAGATCAAGCCGCAATTAGACATGCACCAATTCCGACGGTGAATAATCCTAAAATTAGTGAGGTTACCTTTGACAGCTTACTCTTGTTCTCCGAACACACAACCGCAATTTTGGGCAAATTTTAGGGCAGCGACATATCGCTCGCCAGCAGCTTGGCGCAATCACAAAGAAATTTTGTTGGCAACACGTGCACCGTGTATACAAGGTAGGTAATTAGCCGGTCGATCTCAAGTTATGCTTCACCGGTTGGAGACTAGTAGGAAACAGTGTACGAAGGTACTGACTTGTCCGAACTCCGCACTCCAAAGAGCAACGGGATGCCCTCTGGTATCGTCTCAACCGCAACTGAACAGCGGCTCCTCAACTTTCCCAGTCAGAGCCTCTTACTAGGCATGTCACAGTGCAACGAATTTGCGGACAAGATCCTGACAAACGCAAGCTTAACGCTGGGCCCGACGACATATCGACAAGCCATAAGCGGCATTCATAAGAGAACCCATCACCACGTTTAGAGAATCTCGCACCAGTAATGTCGTAATTGGAGCCCAAGCGCAAACCAAGAGCTTCAGCTGCCGCGAGCTAAGGTCTGGAAACTGCAGTCGACTTAACTCGACCCCGACGTACCAAATGTATGTTCCGCTAGTAAAAGCACACCTCACGACACTACCCACCTCGCTCCTACGACAGTCGGGTCTAAGTAACTACAACACGAACCACCTGCCGACTCAAACCCATTAAACTAACATCCCTCTCAATTCGGTCCGAAATAACAAGTTTCCAGGGCTTCCGTTAGCTTAGCTTGACGGAATCGATTGATAGACTAGCCCATGTTGTTCCCTCACGACAACAATTATTTCCCATAAGAGAGGCTGAAAACTATCTGTGTACATGGAGATCGCAAGGCCCTAGAACAGAGGTGGTCAGCTTCGGCAGAGCATTTTTTGTAGTAGTTGCGTTCCAGATGCTTCACGATATTCACGATTTGCAGGAACAGCTGTTTTCTCCATTAATAAACCTTATGGAAGGTGGTCACCTGGAACGACTTCCCACAAAAGCAAATCGTGAAGCATCTGGAACGCAACTAGTGTGTATGCAGCTGATGTCACTGTGTGCGTGCGAACAAGTTGTGCAGTTGAATGAAGCTTTCACGTCTTCCCAAGCAGAGCGTGTATGTACAAGCGAATACGCCGCGCAGTCGCCCGTCGAGCAGACGCTGCCCAGCTTTGTGATAGCAGATAGAGTAGCTAGAAAAGTTGCAGCAACGATCCCTGTAGTCTATCTCAACTGAAACAACCATTGATTGAAGTCAACTAACTGATTGAGCCAATTACGCTCAACAAGTATAATGCCCGTTATTTTATGACGCAGAAGATGTCGCCGCAAGATCAACGGCCCTATGCGCCGGGCGACGGCATCCGATGGAATGACGAACTGTGTGGGCTTTTTAACATGAGCATAGTAAAGCTGTACGCATGGATAACGACGCTCCAGTGAAAAGATCGTTCTACTCGGCACCCACGGGTGGACAACGAAAGCATGGCCTTCTACGAACAAAATGAAAAGACAACGTGCAGAAGGATACGTCGCCACTCGATATGAAAAACTGGCGCAAATTCGCAAAAGAGAGAGGAAATTGGCAAAGTTTTTAGGTATCGACCCAAACCGTCAAACGGAAGAAAAAGAAGAACTGATTGAGGCTTATCAGTGGGGCTTCAGGTCTTGTAAATCCACCATAACATATCCTGGAAAAGGCTATAGATATGCAAACCGGTTCGAGGCACGTAATAAAAGCGGCAATACTGCAGCACTGATGAAAATTTGCAAAACTCAGGCAGGTTCTGCAATTCACTTCCGAGTGAATATCAATCCTTGGCAATTTGAATTCAAAACGCATTTTGTTGAAATTCACGCGGAAGTGAATTGCAGAACCTGCCTGACTGTTGCAACTTCTTAACTGATAAAACGTTGCTAGAAATTCACACCGAACGTGATACTTTAATAATTCGTGTAACACTGTGGTTGTGATTGCATCTCGAAAAAGCCCACAATCTTTTTTCGATTTTAGACCAGCTCTTAACGAAGAAAAGCCCATATCAATATTTGGTATCCCCGCAACACTAATACGTATACATATGTAGACTAACGTTGAGCACATATTTTAGCTCTGTCCATATTGAGATGGAGAAAGGCAAAAGATGTTGGTCCAGCGGGGAATGTAGACAATGTATAGCTCCTCATGGCAACAAAGTCTTCTTGAAACTCACGCTACCTAAGACCCATTATATAAAATTACCAGTATCATATTTCTATGAAAGTACGTACTATGCATGTCTGCATTATATGTACTATATTAAAACGCATTTTCAATTTTATTTTTACAAAGAAAAATTAAAGATATCAATTTAATGCAGCTTACATTACGTTTTCTTTTTTTTTTTACTTGAAATGGAGCGGAACTGTTATGAATTACTCAATGGCTACTATATAGTAATTAAAAATTGCATTTAGGCAATGTATAGTGCCGAGCTGTAATATTGGAATTAACTCCTAAGAGACAACAGATGCTCTCACAATAACGTTTTAGTAAATTATGAACTAATTTGAATTGACGATATTAAAACGAATTGTCATACATAAACATTCAAAACTAAAATCAATATATGTACATAATTACCTGCAAACCATACTTTCAGATAAATCTGAATATTAGAGATATCATAATTCCCCTTCCCGATTTATTGTACGAAATATCTAAAATAAAACGTACATTGCACACCTCGATCATTTGATGACAATAATGCTGCGCTGAGGAAATCTTTCCAAAA